GCTACGCCTCCACCCAGTTGTGCCCATGAACTCTCGCGAGGCCTTGCGAGATACTATCTTGCCAGTCGGCGGTGGGAGTGACGGCCTGTCACCGGTATTTGTACCCAAGGGCACGCACGTCGCCTACAACGTGTACGCGATGCATCGACGGGCTGATTTCTACGGACCGGATGCGGATGAATTCCGCCCGGAGCGCTGGGAGAGCAAGGAGCTGCAGCCGCGATGGGAGTATCTGCCTTTTAACGGAGGGCCGCGCATATGTGTCGGCCAGCAATACGCCCTGACCGAAGTGGGATATGTTACTGTCCGCATAGCACAGGAGTTTCAAAAATTGGAAAGTAAGGATCCGGGGCCGTGGGAGGAGTCATTGACGTTGACGCTTTGTTCTCGAAATGGAACCAAGGTTTGTCTTGCGCCAGCATAAACTCGACAACAGGCTCTCTACCTCGTGCTATATTGCACATGTTTCATGAGCTCTATGTTACATTCAAGCTTGTGTGCGAATCATTTCATTACATAAATTTAAATGACTTGCTCCCCCGGCGGGCAGATTGTGTGTAACGTTTGGAAATTGGGAATGTGTCATTTGTTGTCTAGCTACTCGCCATCTATTATAGGAAAGAGCTCTTTGACAAAAGTTCCCTGATCATTGTCTAGTCTACATTTTCGCCCTTATTAGCGTATCATGAATCCTACATCGTACCGGCTGCCTCTGTGTTTCTGTAGCATTGACATCAATGATACTACCAGTATCCCACCAATGCCGAGTAATATCAGCTTGCCTCCCACCGGGCACGCAATGTAGTGGAATTGGTAGCAATAGCTGCACCTCCGCATTTGGGGAATCATCCCCCCCAAACTTGCCTGTTTAGGGAGGTGTGTAATGCCTTGGTTCTGATGGGTGGCCGTCCGAGCACAATGCCCTCATCCGAAGTGGCTGCGGCATTGTGTACCCCCAATGCTCGTGTAGTATTCTATGAGTGACCCTGGGATGGCCAACGCGGCCGGGCTTCACGTACCGATATGCATGTTCCATGCTACGAGACATTGCCAGACAGCAGGTCTTAAAAGAGGCCACCTCGCCCGCTGTACATGTAAAGGTATCTTGACTGTGGCCGCCAGACTCACCATTGCAGAAAAATTTGCCTTGTAGACGATTGAAACTACTTAAAACTTATCATTATGCATACTTTTAGCCTGCTTTCCCTTATACTTGCCTGCCGTCTGGCCGCTGGCCATCCTGGTGAGGACCATGCGGCTGAGTTGAAGGCCCGCGGAGAATTTCTGCAGAACCATGTAACCAACTTGGATCACTGTGCTCAAGAGCTAGAGGCCTCTGGTGTTACGAAGCGCGGCATACAGCGCAGATTGCACATGGTCAATAGGCTACGCGAAAAGCGTGGGTTGGAACCCCAGAGAGATGACAAGCAATCCAGAGACTGGGGTGCCATGGAGGCGTCCCATGCATCACTCTTCAAGACAACCGCGTCATGCGTTTTGGCCCCGGAAGAAATGGTTGGACCTTATTGTAAGATGCCAGTCGCTTTGCTATTCGAAGAGACTCTAATTTACCGTCAACGGTAGATGTCGCCGGCGAGAGTGTGCGGTCCAACATTGTCGAAACCCAACAGGGCATTCCTATGGAGATTGACGTTCAATTTATCGATGCAACTACCTGCCGGCCGGTGGAAGGAAAATATGTCGACGTTTGGCGTATGTTTAGCACGAATCTCGCACCACTCTTTCTATTCCATGTGCTAACAGCCGTGATTGTACAGAGGCCAATTCCACTGGAGTTTACGGCGGCGTCATCAACCGAGAAAATGGCAATGGGCCGGCCGACCCAAACAACCTAAAGAAGACCTTCCTCCGAGGTATTCAACAGACTGACAACGATGGGGTTGTAAAGTTCTCTACACTATTCCCTGGCCATTACGCCGGGCGCACCATTCACATTCACGTCATGTTACATCCCAATGCTCGGCCCTACCCCAATGGCACCATTATCGACACTACTGCTGCCTATGTAGGTCAGATGTATTTTGACCAAGACCTCATCTACTCTGTCGAAAACCTCCATCCATATGCGCAAAACCCCAACCCTCTGACACTGAATGATCAAGACTTCATTTTACGGCAGGATTTGTGGCAGGGTGGTAACCCATATATGCAATACAAGATGATAGGCAATCGTCTCGAAGATGGAATTCTGGCATGGCTAAGCTATGGTATCAATCCTGCAAAGCGCAGTCGCGTTACGCCAGTTGCAACACTAAGGGGCAACCTACCACGAGAGACGACAGACATACAGGAGTATGAGATGTAGTGGGAAATCTTCCCTCCCGCTGTTATATCGCCTTTCTGGTCATTGTACCAGTGGATTTCATGCAGCTGACAAACAACTATGTAAACGGTTGTGTTTTTTGAACTTGATAGCACTTGCGGAACGAGTCAGATTTCTTTTTGCATTCTGAGGCTTTTGTCAAGGGCAGCAAAACCAGTCATTACATTCTAAGTGGATGAATTTAAAACAGTGATGAGTTTAAAAAGGTAAGAGATCGAATATTCATTCTGCATATTTATTGCTAGTTGTGCTGAAGATGTATTTAACTCAACATACGGTGTTGCATGCCAGTGTTTCTTGTGCCTGGTGGTTACACCGACGTCACATAGCATAGCGGCACGGGCCGACGCTTGAACTTGATGATAGTTATATAACAACTCAAAATCTCGTCGAGGCCTTAGGCTGAAAGGCTTCAAGGCTCACGGCTGCTTTATAAATGCTCTTATAAATAACCCCTTGTCGCAAACGTGGGCCAAGTGGCCACCGTGCTTAATATTCAGTAATATAAGACGTCGCGTCAAGTGGTAAACCTATCTGTAAAACGTGTCAAGTCAATTAGCAAGAGAGCAGAGTACCTTTGAATTGAATAATTGACTTCAAGTCGCTACAATGACTGTAGAAACTGCATCTCCCTTTGTTTTCGACCAAGGTTCGGACATGGAGATTAAAGTCTAAATCCTCTTATTCGGTGCGGAAACATGAATATAAACGAAACTTTTACTTCTATTACTATATTTAAGAGACTGAGATAAATCTCTTGATGGAGGACACATAGAACACAAGACTGGAACAAAATCTCTAAGAATTCTTTGCTCATTATCTCATGCCGTAACAGTGACAAGTCTCTAATGTAATGAAAGTGACTGCTGGGAAGGGCAAGGACTTGATCCAAGAGCTAGCTTACCTTTGAGGTTACAATACGACTGGGACAGGTATGTACTTGCACGATGCTTGACAGACTGCCGGATCAAGTTTGCTTCAATAGCATCTATACGGGGGCCTACAATAGCCCTCATCTCGTTTGGGCCGGCCTCCGAATATATTTGCTTGACGACGAGTGCCCATTTTATTGTCCCTCGTGCAATATTATACACATGGTTCATCTCTCAAGTTTCCTACAAAGACATGTCCAGTGTGAATAGTGTCCAGGGTAAAGGCACGCTTTGAGCAGCAGGCATTCTCGGTATTATAGTTTTCCATCCCCTACTGCTTGTGGTGCTATATTGGTTACCATGGATTGCTCAAAATCAAGTTCGGCGCTGAGGAGTAGGACAGGTCCAGCTCCTCGTGCCGAAAATAATTCTTGGCACCAGGGGGGGAACATCTGGCACACTAGTCCAGTTCCTTTGTAGGCTTCGGTCAAATTCGTGTTCGGATCAAATTTTGGTCTACAAGTTGGAGCCAACTCACCGGCTGCTTGACTCCGTGAGCTCATACAAGATTCTTTGGATCTATACAAGGCAAATTTGTTCTTGAAGCCGCAGTAACTGAGTGTGATGGCGCAGAACTTATTGCAGAATACGCGTTGTTTACTAGGAAGACGCAAAATATACAGTCAAAGAGGGAGACCGCTTCTGCGATACGGAGTATTGTATTCGCTCTGTCTTTGAAATTGCCCAGAACAAGTTCTCTATGCCTTTACATTCTTCAGTCACGTCTTGGAAGTCTAAAATCGTCACGGAGAAACAACAGCTTACTCCCCTCTTCCAGAGCAGATGCTCCTTAATAGCTTAAAAAAGCTTACATGGAGCTGTACTTGGTAGTTTATGCGGGCGTCGTGCAAGACCTTGTTGTGACAACGATTATCATAGTCTGTCCCCGACCCAAGGAAACCTTGCCTTTAATGTATAGTTCCAAGACCCCCCCCCGTGTGAGCACCAAAACATGAGCCACGATATGTTGGACGCTCGAATCTACCAAAAATGGCGTATATGCCATTCCATACATCGAAGGCCCATGTAATCGGAATTGATATATACTTCCATGGAATCTGGGCCCGACAAGAAGTACAGGCAACAATAAAGTAGTCCATTGTAAACGTCTCAAGCAAGAAAATCCCAGAAATAGCAGAATATTTGTTAGAAGCAATCGAAGACCTTTTTGTATGAGGGCGTAATACGTTATATACCTACTAGGACTGAAATGCCCCGGAGACTTGACTCGTTGCTCTTCTCGAGCATCTCCTTGAAGTACAGGTTGCTGCCAGCGACCGTTCTTATCCTCGTCTCAATCGCCCACCTGCTAAGTCTTTTCTGTAGATTTTTGTAAGCATTCTGCCTTCTGAGCATTCTCGACACCATGAGAGCAATCAAGTCCCTGACAGTGCTAGCAAGAGGAACAGTTTGCTGTTCATTAGCGATTGCTTGCGCACACAAATCTGTTGGCCTGTCCGCCGTCATGGGTATAGGGCGTTCGCGATTTAATCAATGACAGTTTGTGTTTAATTGGTGCTGTGATACGTCATAATTGTCCAGTATATATCTACTGGGCTTTCTATTCCTATTGGCTAGCCATTATTTTGCAGATGTTTACCCTTTGCACTGTGGCGCAAAACTGCTTCTACCCCCAACTCGCAATGCTTTTATTACTGGTCCCGCGTTAAGGCAACATCATTCTGGCATCGAATCATATCTCGTATACTTGGCCTTGACTCCGTCTAGACACAATGTTCAGACCCGTCACTGTGGGTGTGGCACTGCTTCCATCATCAGTGCTTGAGTTGCATTCAGGTTCAATTTACCAAGGTTTCACTCACCGAAGACGCAGCGGTAGCAGTAGCAGTGGCAGGACTGCCGGATACTGACTCGGCCGGACTCTTTTTTGGCGGTGGTTTGCCAGTGCAGCCGACGCCAGGGGCGGCAACATCGTGAGCCCATACGTCGATGGCGAAATACTGCAACGCGTCCATGTCAATGCCACTCTTTTCTGGCTCTGTTTTCGCAAGCTCCAAAAGGCCCGAGTAATCATCTGAGAAATGATTTACTATATCTTCATTGACAATCGGGGCATGGAATAGCCTATGCATTAAATCTGTCGCCCAGAATAATTCAAGTCCAGACCCAGCTACCGTGTGGCCGAGGTTACAGACTGATGAGAGGAGCCGATACTCGGTTGCAAATGGGCAAACATTGACCTCGGCAGTGGCATTAGGTCTCCAGTAAGAGCCCCAGTCTGGAAATGTCAAGTATTAGTGCAGGCCTCAAGTACTATATTCGCGGAGTGCTGAAATACCCTTGTGTATATCGCAATTACTGTCGGGGTCGTCGCAGCGAAACAGCATATCGCTCTTATCAGCTAGAATAATACGATCATACCATCCGATGGCATGGGCCGTGGAGCCATTGCCAAAATATCTTTGGGTAAACGTAGATTTATGACCCCATCGCAAAAGGTGGTTGCGTGCATGCTCAGACAGCTGGACCATTTCATCTAGGCCTTGATTGATCTGTGCCCTGAATGAGCTATTACAGGACTCATGAATAGGGATTGTCGCCGTCCATCCTGCCGACCACTGATAATCTGCCGGCGTAGGTGATGCCTTGGCAGACGCATCAATTGTTGGTATTAGTTCGTCGGCTGGGCGGCCAAGAGGAGAGGCCCAAATGGGAGACAAGAACAACAATGCAATAATTGCATACATCTTGATGATCATATAGATAAGATCGAGAATTTGATGAATTTGCTGTATTTGTTATTGTCTTGGATTCGACTGCCAAACGTCCCTAGCTTTATAGTCACTGCTCTGGCCTCTGGACGATTTCTTGTGTCGCGAGTAAATGGCGCAAAATCTCTGAAAATATGGATACTTGTAAGCCGAAATACACTACAGATGAACATTGATGAACTGATCAAGTCGACTTTACCGGGAAGGCCTGACTTGAATACAGGAAATTTACTTGGTTTATTGATCATCAGGGTGCATGTATCGTCAATGCATGAATTCCTGGACCTAGGACCCATGCCATCAGGGTGCATTCACCTCTACTTGAGGTTCTCAAGATGGCAGCAGCCACGTGGTAAGGCCCTGATCTCGAAAACTCGGCCTATCCGATTCCACGACGCAATGTGGATTACATTGCCTTGTTATAAAATACTACGTCATACCTCAACTCAGCAACCGGCTTTATCCTATTCTCTCATTACCCTAGAATAACCTCATCCGGATTCAACATCGACCCGGGAAGCGGAGTGCATCCGATGTAACCAGCGAAGAGCATGTGAATACTGTACGTGGACTTGCGCTCCCAAAGACTCAGCCGACAGAAGTCGGGGTCGTAAAGCTGCCCGACATCAATCTAGTCCTGGATCCCGGGACATCATCGATGACACCTCTGGGGCCTTGGTTGATTACTTCCCGAGGCGAACCGAGCTCACCGGTCAGGGTGAATCAAAAGCCTTGAGGAGCAAAGTCCGGCAGTTGCACACTTATCATTCGTGTGGTAGGCGGCTTTTGACCGCGTGGCGTTGCAGGCCGTATGGGCTGAAGACAGGGTAGAAGTAGTTCCTGGCTATACCATACGCCGCCGAGAAACGACAGTCTAGCATCGCCCTCGTCAATAGAGTACGACGACTTGGGTTGGTTTCTACGATAAAGGACACGCACAAGGCTTGCGTCGCATCTCGACTTGACCATTAGTGTGACATGTTGCGGGCGTGGATTTGATCCCATACTGTTTTACTTTGGCCTGTGGAATAAGGTCTAGACCTGGGACGAGCCGCTCGGTGCTGCGATATCAGGGACTCGGGGGTGACATGGTTGCCAGTATGGAGAGAATCACGGCAGTTTTAATTATGCCATGAATACCACTCAATGCGGCACTTCTGGAACCTCGGCCTTGCCACTTTTTGGTGGCGCCGACGGTGTACTTGATAGATGATCGTGCTTCCTCAGCTTCGAGTGTGGAGGAAGATTTGGGAAGCCTACAGGGCTAACAGTTTCACAGATATAATATGAGTCAAGTTCCATTACACAAACGATCTTCGGCCCTCGTTGAACAAAGGGATAATGACGATGATGCCGGCAGAGCTGAAAGCTGGCTGCTGCAGCTGAAACTCGTAAAAAGAAAGCTCAAATCCCTTGAACGTCCAAGGGCCTCGACTGGAGTTTATTCAACCGACAGTTGCCTGAAGCATGCGGTTGATCTTATGTACGGCGTCATGGGGCAAAACAAACACTCATTCCGCGACGAGCTATCCCGCATCGCACACCAATAAATGACTGCGTGATGAGACAACCATGCGGGCCATTTTCGAGGGATTGCTTGTGAATAACTCTCGAAACTTGCATGTACGTCGCGTTGTGAACGTACACTCAATTGATGGCATTAGCCCACACTTGCATCTGTCTTAAACATTCGTTGCATAATACAACCTCCACTACCTTGCCTCAGCCAGCCTCTCGGCGCCTGGAACGGGTTCCATGATAGCCATGGGCTGAAAGTTCCCTGCCCAACTGTCACCAGACCGGACAAATCTGTGGCAAAGTTGCAATGGTGGCGTTAGAAAATGATTGATCAATACTTTGCACCGATAAACGCACAGCCAGTGATACCCCGCAATTTCCGTAACGGGAACCATCTAGACTGAGGAAACCAAGAGACATCTGTCAGCCATGATTTGTGTATTGTGTGTTGTATGATGTCTGCCCATTTTCTCTCCAAAAGGCCTATCCAGGTACTTACTCAATTAGTAGTATCGTTATATCCGGTAGTAACATTGCTTTTTTCGTCGAGTCCGGCTTCCTATAGAACACTTAATGTTAGTTCCAGTGCAATGCTGTAAAAGCGACGTATATAAAGAGTCGATGCCAAAGAACTTGCAAGAGACTACACTCCTCTGCTTTCTTTCCTTCAAAACTATTCAAAAAAGCTTTACCATATAATTAAATTACATCTTTCCGTGAAAAGGATCCATCAATATGAATCGGTTCGTGGCCGGCTTCATTGCCGTCGGAATCTTCTGCCTCCCTCCCATCGCAGCAGATCCAAACCTGCCGTGCTCTTCTGCATATCTCATACAGAACAGGGATACTGGTTCTGGTTCAAACGAGTTGTACGAGGTGGACTTGGCATCTGGGAAAACGACACTGGTCAATGGCAATGTCAACGCTGGGCCGCCTGGGTCCGCCATCAATGCCATCGGGTTCAATTCCCGGGACAGCTTCATATACGGAACGGCAACGAATGCCGCGAATGGAACACGCAATCTGATTCGCGTTGGAGCCGGGGGTAAAACTACTGTGCTGCCGATAGAAATCTCGTTTGACACCGTTGTCGGCGACGTGGCCGCCAACGGACAGTACTACATCCGTTCCACCGCGGGCGTGGGCAACGTGCCATGGGCTCAGTTGGACCTTTCCGACTCCAATTCTCCAACCTTTGGCCGCGTGGTTGCTAGCGGAACGAGCGACTCGCTTGGCTTGGCTATGTTCGATTGGGCCCATGTCCCGGGGGCGGGTGACTACCTCTGGTCGTACGGCTTCATGTATCCAAACGAGGACAAGAACGTCTTGGTCCGGTGGGATATTCAATCTCACGCCTACGTCAAGGTGAGAGACTTGGGGATATCCGGGCGATATGGGGCCATGTATGCATCAGCAGACGGCTATCTCTATGGGGAGGAGAGCGGCTCCGGCAGCATCTACAGAGTCAAGGTCGCCGACAGCACAGCGCCTGTTGAATTTATTGCCAAAGGCCCGGCAAGCAGTGGTAACGATGGCGCTGGGTGCGGCGGTCCTCTTGCTCCTCTTCCTCCTACCGGCCCTCTTTCTCCTCTGAAATGCTCCTCCTCCGGCTATCTCATACAGAACACCAAGCCTGGGTCGGATCTAAATTGGTTGTATAGCGTGGACGTATCCGGAAAGGCGACACTGGTTAACAGTAATGTGAATGCCGGGCCATCGGGGTCACATATTAATGCTATTGGGTTTAATATCCGCGATGGCTATATTTACGGAACCGCGACAAATTCGGCCAACCAAGCCCGCAATCTAATTCGCATTGGAGAAGGTGGTGTGGCCACAGTACTGCCATACAAGATCCCGTTTGCCACTGTCACTGGTGATATCGCACCTGACGGGCAGTACTATATTCTTCAAGCTTTTCAGCCCGATGGAGCCGCAACGTCGTGGGCTCAATTGGATCTTTCGGATTCCAAGTCTAGCACTTTTGGCCTCGTCGTTGCTAGCGGAACCAGCGACCAGATCTTGCCCATCTTCGATTGGGCTCATGTCCCGGGGACGGGCAACTACCTATGGTCCTTTGGTGTCACAAATACGGGCAATAATTTCTTGATCCGTTGGGACATGTCAACTCACATATTCACAGTCATTCGGGATTTGGGGGTATCCGGGAGGTTCGGAGCGGTATATGCGGCTGCCGATGGATATTTATATGGCGCAGACAGTATATCTGGGAACGTTTATAGAGTCAAGGTAACGAACAGCACATCTCGTGGCGAACTTGTTGGAAAGGCTCCGGCAAGCGATGGGAATGATGGCGCCTCATGTCCTGTAGCTAACTAATCGAGTGAACTTTTGACCGCATAATCATGGGCCGGGACTGCAGGCGAGAGCGCAAACCGAGCCACTATCGGGCTCGGCCCCTTAGATTAATAGTAGCATGCTCGAGTATAAAATCAAAGCCTTATAGCCTTTGCATTTGCATTATAGTATAGGAAAAACCCCAACCATATTCATAGTGTAAAGGGGGAAGAACTGATACAAGGCATCCTAGAACATCCGCCGTTCGCCACTTCCAAATCTCAAGATTGAGTCAGTCTAATAGCTTCCTGCCAAGGAGTAGATATCACCGCAGCTTAGCGCCCAATGTCTTGGTCGGTAGCATCTGATGGATTGAGACTGTCTGTCCAAAGTTTTTACGTCTGTTGGACCCGGGTTTGAGTGCGGAGACCCAGGCGGCGAGCGGCAGTCCCTTTCCTTGCGCGACCGGATATTAATAAAATCAATAATGCCAAGTGTGAAGAAAGGTACGTACTTGAACAGGAAGTATACTTGTGCCTTATTAATAGTAATTTTACTAATAGTGTGAGCGCTATAAACACTTTATTACCAGAATAAACTTAAAACAACAATTACTTTAAAAGACTTACACCCCAGGTATAAGATTTACACAGAGACTGTTATCCTATAGATAAATATATTACCTCTCTAGGTGTCCTGGCGTCTTTTCCCCCACGAGAGTTGCCCGTGTTATATAAGACCACCAAGGCTGTTCTTGGAGGGGTGAAATAATATTTGATTGAACCTACTAGCAGCAGCAGTATGATATTTTCAGCGCCGTCGTTATATACAGCGCTCTTGTACTGGGCGCCGTCGAGGTCGTATTAAGCGTTTATAAATTAAATAACAGCGCGTAAAGTAGTAGTTTATCGGTCCTGTCTACTATGGCAAATTTAAGCTATATAATATACACTAACAAAGCAATAATACGCATAAGGCATAAATAAGAACATGACTCAAAAGCTCTACCGGAATAGGAATAGTAGGCTTTTTATGCCCCTTTTATAATTCAATGCATTAACTAGCAGTACATAGTTATCGGTCCTGTTTATTAGCAAATTTAAGCCGCATAATGTACACCGTTAAAGCAATAATGCGCATAAGGCATAAACAAGAACATGACTCAAAAGATCTACCGGAATAGGGATAGTAAGCTTTTTATGCCCCTTTTATAATGCAATGTATTAACTAGCAGTACACAGTTATCGGTTCTGTTTATTAGCAAATTTAAGCCGCATAATGTACACCGTTAAAGCAATAATGCGCATAAGGCATAAACAAGAACATAACTTAAAAGCTCCACCAGAATGGGGACGAAAACGGGGCTGTATACGTGGCTAGTAGGCTACATCTAAGAAAAGCCAAGGGCAGCACTTGACAGGTTCAGCCCAGGCTTGAGTATAAAAGGTGACAATAGGCTCGATATAGTCTGTCCGGATAGTATTCGCCAATGCACCCTTTTTTCCTGTTCAATACTATTATTCCTACTACTAAGTACTCTTTTTGTGTCTTCTGTCAAATTTAAGGCATCCACAATGAAAGCCGGAGGTGTCACCCTCGCGTTTTTCGCCGCACCCGCCTTCGCGCTTGCATCTGCCCGTCCAGGAGAAGGCTTCCGAATCTTGAGACGTGCAGAAATCCGGGGACCTGATTGCGAAAAGTTATTGAGGGTTACTCGGTTCAATTGCGATAAGGAGCGTAACACGGAATGGTCTGAAGATTGTTTTCTTGTCGGCCAGGAAGCCGGTATAAAATGTTTGGTGGACTCCCGCAAAGTTCCAGAGACGAGCGACGCAGTTCATGCGCAATGCCACGCCGAGGCCGTCAAGAACGGCAAAGTTTGTTATAATAGCGGCACCAAAGGAGCCTGGCGCATTTGTTCTAAGGTAGGGGTCAAAGCCTACGATGACTGCGTAAAAAAGAACAGCGTCACGACGACATCCGGGCAAAGCCAAAGCCCCGCCGTCACCGCCAGCACCGTGGCTAGTACGTCGACGCAATCTAGTTCAGGAGTAGCTCAGCCGCCCGCCAAAGTGCAAGGTCCTCAGGATCCTCCTCGGGATCCTGCCCAGGTTATGGAAGACAAGCTCTGCACCCCTTCAGCAAAGGCGCCGAATGAGTGGGGTTTAAATCCGACGGCGCCGAATAAGTGGGGTTTATATGAGGGTGCATGCAGGAGAAATATTGCGCAGTGTGTTTTTGAAGAACAGAAAAAGATCCCAAAGGTCAAAAACTTTGATGGCGTTATCGAGTGCATGGACAAGAGGAAAAAATCAATTGGCTTCGACTACGACTTCCCGAGTGACTAACAGGCCCTTCGTTGAATTGTAGCTGCTTTCGGGTTTCAACTCTGATGGAGCTCTTTCTGCCAAACCCCGAGTTTTGTGAAGTGTGTCACGGCGTACACAAGGGCAGGAAGGGTGGCTGAATCGTCGTTTACAGGCTCAAGGTACTCGTTGCATCTTAGCTGCTTAGGAAATATATGTTTGCACAGCTTCAACTAGTTAGGAGGAATAACAAATCGTATCGTCTTTATAACGCGTATATTTATACGTAGTCTTGTAGTATCGTGGGACATGTTGGCTGTCATGTTTCTAGGAACCCTGGGATAGTATTACTAGATACGCTTTGAATACGCTTTTACTTTACGGATATAGTAGTCACTAGATTGAGACATGAGAAATTAAATTTGTCGTTTAGCTTTTACGAATACTCGCCCGTAGCCTTTCGCGATGGAGCCGGCTTCCTATACTCTTGCTTGTATGAAGCCGCCCATGTTATATCTCCATCTTTTTTTTAATCATTTGGTTTCCATTACGCAATAACCTGAATGTGAGGCAATATGTGGTGCATCGCATCGCATCACCAATATCATCTCTGCAACCGTATTCATGACGAGCACCTAGACTGCTCCATTTTCTGGGTTCCAGCCGTGGACACAGACACGTTTGAAAATGCTCATAGCGATATTAGCAAACAGATGAAGATTACGGGTAGTGACAAACAAAGCTGACGTTGAGCGGTTCTTCACAGGCCTCACAGTTGACCCTTTACCCAGTTGGCCAGCCCAGTGGCCATTCGACACGGGCATGGGTTGGTTGGTCTTACAGCAGTACTGCTGTTCTCTTCCATCCTCATCGGGCTTTGCCACGTCCGGATGGCATGTCTCCCTGGCTCGCACATACGAGATGTGTCTATGTTTTCCTCGACGTAGCACTTGGCGAATGTTGCTGCGACTTCTGCAGCCTTGGCTGTGGACTGATGAATATTTGCAAAACTAAAGGTCTACTGCTCAGCATCACACCACACGCCTAGTGCGAATGGCTCAAACTGACACCGTCATGCGAAGAATTCTTCACTGGAAAATGTCAGCCGAACTGTGTCGAGCACCCAGGACCCCCTGTTGGACCGGGTAGCCCGCTCTCAAACAGAAGGTTCTAGGCCATGGCCGGATATCCGATGCCGTCTTCTTTATCACACGGCATTACACAGGAATCGGTTACTACGAAGGTGAGAACGACCGGTCCAAATGCCAGCAGACGTCTGCGTAAGACCTGCCTGGCAATTGATGTGTTTGATAGTGGTACCCATTCGTCACAGCACAAGTTCCTCATCAATTTTAGTGGACGCTCTCACACATTTGAACTATGCCTTGCTATATTGATCCCTCATAGCTGTGAAATTATCTCAAGGCCCTTACTTGCCGAGGGACAAGACGCCCGCGATAATGCGACGACTGTTGGCAGTGGAGCTGGAACTGGTGCACGTATTTTTGATGACTCTTGTATAAAAGCACATAGATAAATTGTACCACTGACCGGAGCGTCCCAGCAGTTTTGACTATGGCAAGGTACGGCTAATTTACATGAGAGCAGCAGTCGGGGCTCTTCCATCTCTCCAAGAATCCGACACGTTCTTGTACGCGGCGGCATAGTCGTTTCCAAACAACTTCAAATCACAGTAGAGATGCTCGGTCTGGAAGAACACTTGGGCCTCATACTCTCCCAAGAGACAATTGTCAGATCGTCGTGAGCAAATGACCGCCTCATGGAAGAATTTCTGGTTCTGGAAGCGTCCCTCGGAGCAAAAGCACTGTCGCATGTTCTCTCCCGACTCCTTGTTGCAGTCTGTCTCGGTCTTCGCCTTCTTGGCGCAGACCTCGGTGGCATCCTTGCGCTCAGGGGCCTTGCTGCCAGAGGGGCATTCGCAATCTTTAGTTTCAGACTGGCTACCGGAGTTGGAGGGGGTATCGCTGCCGGTCTGGCCACCAGGGGTGCTGGCGGAGTTCTGGGCAGGAGCATTAGGAGTCGTCTTGGTGCCGTGGGAGCCAGGGGCAACGGTATCGGCACCGCCGCTGGGGGCATTTTGGGTGCTGGGGGGCTTTTCAGAGCCCTGGGAAGTGTTGGGGGCCTTCATGGTATCCTCGGGGCCAGAAACGACAGTCTCGGCACCACCGCTGGGAGGATTCTGGGTGCTAGGGGTCTTTTTAGGGCCCTGGGGAGTATCAGGGTTCTTCATGGTATCCTCGGGGCTAGAAACGACAGTCTCGGCACCACCGCTGCCATTGTCAGGTGTGTTAGCACCGCTGGGAGGATTCTGGGTGTGCTGAATGTTGGAGACGTTGGTAGAGCCATTATCAGGAGTGTTAGCACCGTTGCTGACATCTTCGTTGACGTACTCATCCTCATCATCCGACATAGCGGGCGTGTTGTCAGGAGCAGGCTTGTTGTTGGGAGCGCCAGTTCCGGCACCGCCGCTTGGGACATTCTCAGGGTTGTGGGTATTGGTAGAGCCATTGTCAGGAGTGTTAGCACCGTTGGGGAGACCTTCGTCGACGCACTCATCCTTATTATTCGACACAGCGGACGTGTTATCGTCAGCAGCAGGCTTGTTGTTAGGAGCGCCAGTTCTGGTACTACTACTGGGGACGTTCTCAGTGTTGGCGTTGTTGGTAGAGCCATTATCAGGAGTGTTAGCACTGCTGGGAGGATTCTGGGTGTGCTGAATGTTGGGGACCTTGGTAGAGCCATTGTCAGGTGTGTTAGCACCGCTGGGAGGATTCTGGGTGTGCTGAATGTTGGAGACGTTGGTAGAGCCATTATCAGGAGTGTTAGCTCCGTTGCTGACATCTTCGTTGACGCACTCATCCTCATCATCCGACACATCGGTCGTGTTATCAGTGGTGCCGGTAACAGGCTCGTCAGAAGTACCAGATCCGGCGGCGCCATTGGGGGCCTGGGACTCTACAGCGGCGGGCGTCTTGGAAGGAGGAAGGGGCTTGTTATTTTCAGGAGCCGCAACGACATTGGCTTCGGTACCGACGATGTCCTTCACTTGCTTTGCAGTGTTCTTGTCCTTGCTGGCATCGTGCACGGTGTCTTTGATCTTGTCGAACTGCTCCTTTTTCTCCAGCATGGAGACGGGCTTGGTATTGTCAATTCCGGTGTTCTTGTAATCGATATAGAGATTTCCCTGCGCGTCCTTCTTGGGGGCGCAATCAATGATGACCCAGATGATGTATACGTGGCAAAGCTTGCCGTTGATCAGGATAATATGCGCGACATCAGCACCACCGTTGGAGCCAGAGGCAGGGACAAGCGAGCTCGAAGGTGACAAAGAGGCAGTGGCTGCTGCGGTAGAATCCCCGGACGTGACACGCATCAAGGTGGTGGGCTGCGAGCCAGCAGCAGAAGGCGTCAACGTAACGGGGGCAGTGTTGGCTCCAGAGGGCTCGTTGTTGACCTCGACGGCAACAAAGGCGGGAACAACGACCTGCCCAGCCACGGGGTCACTGATATTGGCATTGACGGTGTTGTCGTTGACTCCAGGCTGGGGGGCAGCGGGCGTAAATTTGCCCGGGCCCTGCTTCTCCGGGACGGCGACCTTGGCCAGTGTATAGTAGTCCCTAGGATTGCCAATCTTAGCATCGAGAGGGTTGCCAGCAATGACTCCTGTTTGCGGCGACGGCAAGCCTTTAGTAAATTCGGCGAAGTCGACAGCCACGTCGTCGGACTGGCAGTACCCCTTGTCCAGGGCTCCGAAGTAGTCTTTCCAGAATTTACGCTGGTCTTCTGGCTGCAGACCGTTCTGAATCTTGCATTCTGAACAGGCAACAGCGTCTTGCAAGAACGAGCTGCCCTTGCCGCAGATGCAGTCTCGCTGAGCCTTGCGCTCCTCGGCCGTCTCGGCCGACCAAGGGCAAGACTCGTGGCGAATCTTGAGCTGCGAGGCGCAAGGCCAGATAAAACCACCGGCGACTGAGGTGTCAATCTTGTGGCAGGCGTCGTACTTCCATTCTCCCTCTATCTTCTTCATGGTATCCGATGGAATAATGGGGATGATGTCCTTGGCGGGTTCCAGAGCGGTAGCCGGAGCGGTAGCCAGAGGGGAAGCTTGGGCTGCCACGCTGGTCGCGAGCGTGGCAGCGCTCAAGGCCGTGACGAGGGACTTCATAGTTGATACGTTATTAGATGTAAAAGTAGTAAGCCAAAAAAGAATATAAACCAAACTTGTAGCGAGCGTGGGTGATTCGATATCAAACACTTGCGGAAACCGCACTGAATGCTAGATTATATAGAAAGTGTTGGTCGGTATCCCACACAACATTGAAGTGACGAGACGGCTCGAGCTCTATCATAACGCAACCCGTCCCAGTCCTTGCTGCGGTACCGTTCAATACAGAGCCCGCGTCGTCAGCTTCTAGATTCGCGGTACGTTTGCATTGTAGAATTCATATCCATCACTCTACTTGCCTGACTAGCGGAAATAGCCGAGAGCGCTCAAATTGCCACGCTGCTCTCTTTTATGCGCATAAATTGGGAAAAAGAAAAGAAGAAACAAGAAAAGCGCCAAGCACTGACCTACTATTAGGTCACTGCTATTTAACACCGACTCTTCGACAGACACTGGCTAGTCATTTTTTCCCGCGCCTATTACTATTTATGCATACATGTAATTATATATGCATACGTCTGTGGTGAGAATTGATTGTGTGCCTGAATCAGGGCATTAGCATTATGCAACGTCGCCCTTGTCACGCCAGATCAAGCTTGGCACCCACTCCAATTCGTCTTGTGGCCCGTCCCAAGAAGAAATATGTAATATGCACTGCATAATCATGACATTCTTTTTTGGGTCTGGTACACACAAATCAGGCTGTAATCCTATGCCCGGTGGATATGCCACCGTAGAGCAAGATGGCCATTATGCAGACGATTCATGGCCGACGGCCGTGCTCTTTTTCTGATGATGCCTCATGTGTTGTTTATTTTAATTGGCCGGATCCAAGCTAACTCTCCGGGTGCGAAAAACCTGCTTGCTACATCAACTGAAACGGCGCTGGATGGAAACACTTAGGAGCCGAGAACACACATGGTAGACAAGGGAATGGCAAGGATTAAACGTGCACATGCCTGTGGGTGTAGATACTCGAGAGTTGGATTGAGAGCTGAAAAGCACCAGCAGCTTTTACATCGGTGGAATATGATAAGCGTCCAAGCCCAAGCTCGGTAGGGAGGGATGGCATGGATGAAATCGAAGCCGTCATGGTTCCTGGTGAAGAATAGCCATATAGAGGAGCTCTCCGGGCCGGACCCTCGGAAACGCAAGTATCGAGAAATAGTCTTCTGTCCTCATGTGGGCCATCTATAAAGTGCTGCCTCGGTGCCATCTGCTGCACGTCTGCGACCTTGGCCATGAATTGTATCGCTCCGGACGGCGGAAGGGGTTTCAGAGCAAGCTGAAAAATGTACCAGACCATTCACTGGCCGGGGTGACGCCGGCCCCCTTGGCCGTCTCCTTGGCCGACCCAGGGTTCTACCCAGTCACCAGGTTGCCGTCGAACACTGCATGGGATACAAATGGCAGCGTAGCCTTGCTGTACTTGGCACCGTATTTCTTGGACTCTTGCTCGGCATTGTAAGGCACAAATTTGTTCACGCGGGCAAGCATCCGTGGGCTCGGGTAGCCACAAACCCGTCGGATAGGACGGGTCGTGTCAATGCCACGTTGGGGACGACGTTTAAAATGCCCCTGGCCATGATAAAGCCACGTCCAAAATCTTGTTTCGGCTTTTGCTGAACTTGGTTGATTCTTGACTGCGAGCAACATTATCGCGAGTTTTTATATGCTACAGTAGTATTCTTAAAGTTATATGAACCCTGCCCCGCCCCCAGTGGCCATTCTACGATGATATATCTTAATATGACAATGATCTGCGGCCAAGATCGTCTATCCTCCCAGTGGTCTGGTGAAATCGCTGGCTATAATGCCTGCAGCGTGACGTTGCCGAGAGGCGTAATGGAACTTTCCGATGGTGTTGGTGTCAACCCGGATTGCGAACCCCCAGGATCAGCGGCCTATGTCCGTCCCTCTTCTAGCAATGCCCCGTCTTCCGCTTGCGTTTGGCCTCCTGAGCCTCGCATAAACGTTGCCGCCAACTCATACTCCATAGTTTGTGGTGGAATGCCTCTTTTCTGTCATGGATGCCCGGCCAAGCCTAGCCTCCATGCGGTTCCCAGATATCTGCCGCCAATTATTAAGCCTGGCAACATATTACGCGGGACCCGCCATCATCTAGAATCTAATAAAGTCCAGGACATGGAAGCAGTAAAGCAAGGCGTGGCAATCATCAGGCTTATCGACTCCACCAGGGCTCGTGCCTGCGGCGTTATTCTCTGGGTTGTCCTTGTTGTGAGATTGCTCATCACTAGGCTCCAGAATCACGACTCATTCTTAGAGCTGCAAGAGGAGATAAACAACCTCCCTCAAACCTTAAAAAGAGACATATGATAAAAGTCCAAGTTCCAAGGAAATCAACAGCTCCAAATACCTGCAACTGCTGTCAAACCCATGGGGGTGAGCGAAAGCTATATGATGTCACCGCTTCCGCTCTCATTGGCCGACGATGACGTCTAATGAAGCTACACGCCTCCCATCACAGTACCCATTCTCAATCAAGTACTTTTGTATAATTTAAAACGTGCTCAACCCTTCTCGGCCTCTTAAAACCGGTCGTCTGTGGGCCCTAGAGGGAGTGAAACCAGGCACATCAAGCACGAAATCATGGTTGAATTTTCTCACCAATCTCTTAGGTGGACATTCGCACATTGTCTGATGGAGCTCTGAGCTGACATCCGTAGGCGCCTCGTGAATTCGCGGCTCACTAAAATCAGGCAACTCGTATACGGGTCTCTCGTCCTCTATAGGGAACGCGATTGACCCAAAGTCACGGCTGTTGGACGGTCTTGAAACGTAGAGAGGCTTTGTTGCGCGATCGGATAGTGGCCTACTGACGGGACGAGAACCTTGTCGTTTCTTTCTTGCCGATGCCTCTTGTTCCGAAAGAAGAGGAAGACCATGGTCCCGATCAAGGCGAGTGCTACAACGCCGCCGATGACGCCACCAGCTATAGGTGCAGCATATGAACCCTTGGAATCGTTACTGCTCTTCGTAGGTGTGGCGGGCGAGGCACTGGGATAAATGACGACAGTGGTGGTCGATAAAGGACTGGGCAAGGCTGTAGCAGAGGATGTGCTATTGGCAGCTTGCCCCTTGTTATTGCAATAGTCGCTGTTTCCCACACTGCCAGGTCTCCAGCCGTAATAACAATATCTGATAGCCTTGATGTCCTCGCTGGGGCCTCCTATCCAATCTTCTTTTTCAGACGAGGCGCAGCTGAGCAGCCGTTAATTGATCTTGATTGTGGGTTGGCGTGAGGGCGTCGAATGGCCATCATTGATGCTGTGATGAGTGCTTGCAAGTGCAATGGCGCCAAGCGAACCAACATTGAAGGGCGAAAAGCGCCGAGTTCGCGAGCTGGCTGCTAATAAACTTTGAGCACTCCGCAGTACAGTACAAGTTGACATGCAAGCCCTTCCGAGGTCACCATTACTCTCAGCCTTAAGCCTTCAAACTCTGTAATCATATTCGCCTAGATGTACTAAGCCACCTGTCCACCAATGGATGCGGCCTACCTACATATGTAGGTAGTTTCCGTCTGTCACACGGGCTACACGAGGACTACGATGACGGGACCCAGCACGGGTAAGCGGCGTAGATGCATATACGGTCGGGCGACTCCCGAATCATGCCCCGATTCCGCCGTGGCATCGGCCCTTCAGTACGGGCGGGTGCCGTATGGCCAATGGGCTGGACGCATATTATGACTACATGTACATATACATACTAGTTGACATGTCGACCGGTATACTAGCCCGATCTAGCTAGAGGGAAAGTGCGTCAGACACATGCGTACATATGTACCTTTGATGTGGGTGTGAAGCACTATTTGACACAAAAACGCGACCTCCGCTGTTTAATTTAAAATGACTGGAATAATCCTCCCAGGCTGGCCATTCATCAGCTATCTAGAGCTCTGTTGCAATAACAATGTTATTAGGAACGATGCTGACATATCGACAGTCCTAGTAGACCTGGTCCAAAATCTTCATAAACCCTGCCTTTATTAGACAGGGTCTGCCGCACCAGAGGGAAAAAAAGACAAGATTCATACTGTAAAGAAGCTCACTCAACTCCCTTGTCGATAGTTGCCGAAGCGAATCGGATTCTCCCCGTAGGCCTTCAGCTTCTTCCGCACCCACGGCCCCCGGTTGCCGAAGCTGGCCACGATGATGCCAGTGGTAGAAGGTCCGCCCACGAGGACTGTGAAGATGCCGCAGAGAAGCAAGTCCTTCACTGCTGGCTCGGTCAGATCAAAGGGCTCTGCACGAATGAAGATGCGCCTCCCGTCTTCCCCCATGTACGGAAGGGTGAACTTGAGCTGGAGGATGTTGGGGTGAACGTTGTGGTAGCTCGAGCCCACGGCCGCGTCGCCCAGGATATAGCTTCCCCCGGTCCCCCAGTGCTGGAAATCAAAGTCTTGAGCGACTCCGTCGTCGACGAGCGGCGTCCGGCTCAACGACACCTGCCATGGAAGAACTGGTACCTGCTGGCTGAGACTGAGGGCGCCGCAAAACGCAAAGAAGCGCTGCCATTCGCGCGGGCCGTAGCAATAGCCTACGCCGTAGCTCTGCACGGTGAAGTCGTCGCCTGGGTTGCGGCCAACAGCTACAAAGTCGGCGTGAGCAAATATACCAAGCGAGGCGGCGTAGGCGCCCGTCTTCTGTGCCATGGAAGCCGCATCGTCATCATCTTGATAGATCCATTCCGGACCACCGGCTCCCTCGAGATGGACATGCCACCCGAACGGCACAGCCGGCGAGACCGTCCGGAAGAGCCAATTGACGGCGGCAACATAGCCGCCAAGGTCCTCGGAGATGCTGTCGGGAATGTCGGCAGCGACCTTGCGATAGTCGATGGCGGATTGCAGCGGACCGCGCACCGTCATCGTGAACTTGGCTGTGAGGCCCTCGCGCTGGCAGGTGCTGACAAAGTCGGGATTCACAATGTAGCCACCCGGCACGAGATGCTGGGGGTCCATGGTACTGTTGGCT